GGAATCCATAAAGTGTTTAGTAGAATTTAGGGACAATTTCTATTGTGTTCTTTTCACCATTTTGGAACTGTGAAATATACATCCCCCCTTTTTTTGTCTTACATGTAGGCAGTTTACAGAGAAATAATTAACAATAACAACAACAACAATAATAAAGACCTATGTAGCCACCACCAAGACTTAGCAATAGAACATTATTTCATACCTATTTTTCATATTAACCTATTTTCAAGTGTGTAGCTACAATTCACTTATTTTTAGCTACTATACAGTATTCCATATCATAATAATATATATTATATATAACATACATAATAATAATTCTATATAAGACTCTATAATAATTTCTTTTTAAGATTTATTTATTTATTTGAGAGAGAGAGAATGCACGAGCAGGGCAGAGAGGCAGAGGGAGAGAGAGAGAAGCAGACACCTCACTGAACATAACCTGATCATGACCTGAGCCGAAGGCAGACACTTAACCGACTGAAGCACCCAGGCACCCCAAGATCATACGATAATTTCTTGTTCACATTACTGTTGATGGATATTTTGCATAAAAGATTAACTATTTTATATGTGCCTTGAGAGATACAAGTGTAAGGCTTTCCCTAGCATATACGCCTCAGATTAAACTTGATAAGTTGTGAAATATGAACATGTCCAACTTCACTTGGTAGTGCCAACATAATTATGCCAATCAACAGCCTACCAGCTGTGTAAGAGGACTGTTTGTTCCACGCTTTTGCTAAAACTTGGACTTGTCTGAGTGAAATGTCTGCCAGAGGCTTGGTGTGAAATGGCATCCCCTTGTGCTTTGTTCCCTGAATAATAATGTAATGGTACTTCGTGTGGTTATTAGGTCACATTTGTGTTTCATCTTCTGCCTCATTTTCTAGTGCATTGTTTTCTCTTGCTTATTGCCTTTAGGACATATTTATATATTCCAGGTTTATAGCAAACTTTGTCAGTTATATCTGTTGCAAACTTCTTCTTAAAGGTACATCTTGTATTTGACCTCCTTATGGTGTATTTCGAGAAAAAGAAGTTCTTTATTTTCATGAAAATTTACTGAGATTTTCATTTTGGGGGCCTTGATTGAGAAATTCTTCTTTAACCCAAGGCTATTAAATATGCGCTCTTATAAATGTTTCTAAAAGAATAACAGTTTTACCTTCTACATTAAAATTTATATTCTACCTTGGGTTGATTTTTGTGTAAATGTGTAAGATAGGGATCTGTTTCATTATATTCTGTATGGAAAACCAATTTCCTCGGCTGTCCTTATCGATAGTCCATTCCTTTCCCATCAATGTGCACCACCCACGCTATCATCTTTCAAGTTACTATGGGTGGTTCATTTACATTCCATGTTTCTGTATATTCTTGCAACAATACTACACTTCTTAGTTGCTATTGCTTTATAATAATTTCTGCTATTTGATAGATCAAGTCCTCCTATTTAATTCTTCGTGGGTAACTTTTGATTTTTCATACACAGTCTTTATTCATTTAAATCTACCCACATATTTGCCCTTTCAATTATTCCTCTTTTCTTGTATTTTCATGATTTGATCTGGGGTCATTTTACTTCTGTCTGAAAATTCTCCTTCAGTATTTCTATCGGTGCATGTCTCCTGGTATCCAGTTTTTTAGATTTGTGTTATCTAAAGTTCTTATTTTGTTCATTTTTGTAAAAAATATTTTTGCTAGATGTTGAAATCTAGTTACTTTCTTTCAATACTTTAAACATATTATTCTATTTTCTTCTGGCCTTCATCATTTCTGTCATCTGTCTTATTTTTGTTCATTTAAAACTATGCTTCTTATTTCTAAATGCTTTTGAAATGTTCTCATTTTCTTTGTATTAAAGGTTTTCTTTGTATTTCTCTTATTTGATTTTGTGGCATTTCTTCAACCTGGTTTATTATTTTTCATCTATTTTCAAATATTCTCAGACATTATCTCTTTAAATGCTGCTTTTACCATCTCTCTCTTCTAGCCTTCTAAAATTAAATATATATTTATTTTCTATTGACCTATTCTCTAGCTTACTAATTGTCTCAGCTGTGTCTAATCTTTAAACCCATTTACTGAGTTATGAATAAAGCTGCTTCAAAATTTATATATAAGTTTTTGTGTGGACATATTTAAATCCTTTGGGTAAATACCCAGAATTTGATTGCTGGATCATACCATCACAGTGCATTTAGTTTTGTTTTGTTTTTTAAGATTTTTTAAATTTACTTATTTTTAAGAGTGAGAGAGAGAGAGCACAAGCATGAGCAGGGGGAGGGCCAAAGGGAGCAGCAGACTCAATGGGAGCCTGACATGGGACTCCATCCCAGGACCCTGGGATCATGACCTGAGCCTAAGGCAGACACTTAACCAACTGAGCCACCCAGGTGCCCCAATGTATGTTTAGTTCTTTTTTTTTTTTTTTAAGATTTTTTATTTATTTATTTGACAGACAGAGATCACAAGTAGGCAGAGAGGCAGGCAGAGAGAGAAGGAGGAAGCAGGCTCCCTGCTGAGCAGAGAGCCAGATGTGGGGCTCGATCCCAGGACTCTGGGACCATGACCCGAGCCGAAGGCAGAGGCCTAACCCACTGAGCCACCCAGGCGCCCCTGTATGTTTAGTTCTATAAGAAATGCCAAACTGTCTTACAAAGTAGAAGTACCATTTTGCATTTCCACTAACAACAAATGATTTCCTGTTGCTTCACATCCTTGCTAGAATTTGGTGTTTTCAGTGTCCCTGATTTTGACCATTCTATAGGTATGTAGCAGTAACTCACTATTGTTTTAAAAATGCAAATTTAAGATGAAGTGGAGTACATTTTCTTATGCTTATAATTTGACATTTGTATATTTTCCTTTTTTTATTTTATGGAAAAATTTGTGTAATACAAAAATTAGGCATACCTTAAATATTTGGTTGAACTTGCTTGTTAGATCAGTTAGGATTCAATCAAGGAAGCACATCACTGAATATTATAAAATAAAATTTTATTAAAAATTAGATTCTTGCATAATTTCAGAGGAGCTGGGAAAGTGAGGTCCAGACTGGTAACTTAGAGGATCAGAGGAAAATCACTGATCAGCCCTCCTGATGCAATGAGATGAATGGATAAGGTAAAGTTTGCAGAAAAATCTGCAAAGCCAGGTGCTCTTACCTTCTCAAGTGGAAGCATAAAGCAGAGCTGGTGGGGAGGTTAATGGAAGATTTTTGCATCTGTAGCAAGTGGTCCCTTGGGATCAAGGATGTGCATTAGACCCAGTAGTCAGGAAAAAGAGACGACACCAAGTAAGGGAGAGGGAGAACAATCTGCAGCCAGACAGCAATCACCATGGGGAAGAGTGAGAACAAGCGGCACCAACCAACTGTGTCACAAAAACACACAGGAATAAAATTCTGGGAAACAGTTCCAGTTGACCAAGTTGACACAATGCAAAGACACGAAATATTTAAAGCTTATATTTTCCCTGTGGAAAGATTTTTAAATGTTTTAATTTCTTTAATGGGTTTGGGACTATTCAGATTTTCTGTTTCTTTCTCTGTCAGTTTCAGTAAGCTAATTTTTTTTTTCCTAAATGATTGTCCATTGGCTTAAATTTGAAATTTTACTGTTACAAAGTCATCATACTATTCTCTTACTTTTTAAATTGTTACCACACCTGTATTTGTATGCCCTTTTCATCCATAATATTAGTTGTTCATTCTCTCTCTTTCTTTTGATTAATATTGTTGTATATTTGTTAAACTTCTCAAACAACTAACTTTTGGCTTTTTTGATCCTTATAATTTTTAATTTTTTCTTTTTTAAAGATTTTTTTAAAAATTTATTTATTTGACAGACAGAGGCCACAAGTAGGCAGAGAGGCAGGCAGAGAGAGGAAGGGAAACAGGCTCCCTGCTGAGCAAAGAGCCCTATGTGGGGCTCCATCCCAGGACCCTGGGATCATGACCTGAGGCTTTAACCCACTGAGCCACCCAGGTGCCTCAATTTTTTCTTTTTTCAATAATTTCTCCTTTTATCTTTATGAAGTCTTCACTTACACTCCTTTGGATTTATTCTACTTTCCTTTGTTAACTTCTTCAGTTGGGTATTTCTTAGCTCATTAATTTTTTTTTTTCTGTATAAGGATATATCCTATATCCTTTATATGATTCCTATATAATTCCCTCTCAATGCCAATTTAGTTATATACCATTCATTGTGGTATATAGAATTTTCACAGTTGTTCAGTTCTATGTGTTTTCTAATTTCCATTATGATTTCTTCCTTGGCCCATAAGTTATTAGGAAATGTTTATGTAATTTACAAACATTTTGTTTATCACTTTATTATTAACGCTAACTGAATTTCATTACAATCAGAGAATATGGTCTATATCACCACATTCATGTGGTCCCCAGAAAATTATTGAAGCTACATTATGGACTAGCACATACATATTAATTTTCATGAAGTTATATGTGCTCCATATATATCCAGTTCTAATTACTGTACTTTAAAGTCTTCTATGTCCTCACTAATTTTTTTGTCTCCCAATTTTATTAATTACCAAGAGCAGTATGGCAAAATCTACTGTGATGTTATTTTCTTCAATACTTCTGATAAAATGTCAATTTTTTGCTTTATATATTTGAGGATAGGTATCATAGGTATATGATTTTAGAACTGTAATATATTTCTGGAAAAAATAAACACTTTATTATTATGAAGTAATTTCTTTTTTTTTTTAAGTAGTCAGTAGGGACTGTTTTTTTTTTATTTAATTTTATTTATTTATTTATATGATAGACAAAGACCACAAGTAGGCAGAGAGGCAGACAGAGAGAGTGGAAGGGAAGCAGGCTCCCTGCTGAGCAGAGAGCCAGATGCGGGGCTCGATCCCAGGATCCTGGGATCATGACCTGAGCGGAAGGCAGAGGCTTTAACCCACTGAGCCACCCAGGTGCCCCTATGAAGTAATTTCTTGTCTCTAGTAATATATTTTATTATTCATCTTTAATTTCCTTCAACTTTGGATACAATCTTTAAGAACAAGTAAAATGGAAAGAATATCTGCTCCACTAAATTTTTTAGATTGGATGTGAGAACCAATGAGATCAAATAAGATAAGGAATACAATAATCAGAAGCCACAATGCAAATGTAAGATATAATTCTGGAGAAAAATATTTTAATTCTACAGATTCAAAGTCTTTTTGATAGTGCAAACTGCCATACACACCCACATCTATAAGACTAGGTAGGCTCAAATGGGATTTGGGTATAAATGGTTTAAAAGCTCAATCATAACCCAGTCATTGTCATACTGCTTTTAGGTGGTATTTCCTTACCATTAAGGCAACAGGTGGAAATACTAATAAAAGCTGGTGATGATAGTGAAAAATTTTGGAAAGTGGCTGTTGACAGAGATCAAGTAGTTCTAGAACTCTAATTATATATTTGCTTACCTATCATTAGAAGCCACCACCTGTGTCTTTTGTGCTGCTGTCTCCAGCTCTAACAAATTAATACGTATTTAAAACTAATGTCCACATTTGACAGTGTATTTCTATTTGTTTAACAGCTGCCAACAAGTGTTAGAGAACTATCTCCCTAGAATATATAGACAAAGGGGTTATTCTCATAACACATAATTTGCAGTATGGAAAGTCAATTGATATTTTCAGAAGCTTTATGAGGTTTCTCAAAAACCTCTTTAGCTTATAAGCATCTTGCCTTTAAAACAATAGGTAAAAGCAAAAAAAAAAATTATTTTCCCAGATCTACCTGGACATAGATAAACTGTACAATGTTGTCTCATAAAACAAATATAGTCATAATTAATGCTCTTTATCCAATGCATAAAACTTGATGAATAAATGACCAACATATCCCAAACATATATGTCTAAGAGGGTCATTTTAATGTAAAAGTGAAATTGAATGTTTAACCTGCCTTGATATTTGTGTACAACACCTTGTGAAATTCTGACCCAGGGGTTTAGGGCTCTGCTCTTAGCCCCATCTTCATATGCCACTTGCCTGGAAAAGAAGCAGTACAAACAAGTTTACCATACTGGAAGCTAATACGATTGAAACAGTGGTCTCAAAAAGGGGTAAAATAATAACAATAATAATATGGTTTAATTTTATGGCAAGCATTAGTGGTAAGCACCATGCATGCGTTATTTCACTTGAAAGCACAACAACCCTATGGCAATGGTAATATTATTCTCCCCATTGTGAATATGAGGAAATTGAAATTTAGAGAGATTAAGTAGTTTGAAGAAGGTTACAAAGCTAGTTAGGTGATACATGGTATTTAAAATCTAGTCCTGTGGAATTCAGAGACCATCTTTTTAACCACTACATCATGTATCATCATTATATACATAATGACATCACCTCATCTATTTGGAACTGATGTATCCCCAAGCTAAGTATACAACTGAAAACAGTAGGGAAAAACTAAAGGTTGCAACATACCAAAAGTTTAAGGGCTAAAATTTATGTATGTACTCAGGAAATATTCATAAACTTGCCTTCAATACACATTTATTCTTACTTTATATACGCTGCTAACTTGCTTGGTTATCTGAATACCACGTTTACAAAACAGAAGCAACGAGAAAGGTGAGATGAGGAGCTTGCATGGGAGGTAACTGATGGAGCCATGAGGGCTGACAGCTGGAAAGTCCACAGGAAAAGTAATGTAAATAATAGGTTAAAATGTTCAGACTCAAGATTTAAGAACCTTTAATATGCAGTAAAGGAGCTCTGATCATCACAAAATGATAGCACTTTATTATGGCTTATATGTAATAAAGTCCTTATTTTATTAAGAAAATGTATACTTGTGCTCAACATGTTTTTGTTTTGTTTTGTTTTTAAGATTTTATTTATTTATTTATTTATTTGTCAGACAGAGAGAGAGAGAGAGAGCACAATCAGTGGGAGCAGCAGGCAGAGGGAAAAGCAGGCTCCCCACTGAGTAGGGAGCCTGATGAGGAACTTGATCCCAGGACCCTGGGATCATGACCTCATCCCAAGGCAGACGCTTAACTGACTGAGCCACCCAGGCATCACTTATGCTCAACATGTTTTATACGATGATACATTTATGCTCAACGTGTTTTATACAATGATAGATACACTTATGCGTAACATGTTTTATATAATGATAGAGACGGAGTTATCCTAGACTGATAAAGGAGCATCGGTATTTAAAGCAGTAAGGCCTACAGCATCTCAATACCTTGGAAATAGTAATAACACCTTAGTTTGTATTGATGCTTGCTGGGACTTATGTTGTTTTCACACAAAGAATGCTTCATTTTAGAGTTAAAGAAACCAAGGTGTGAACATTTGACTCACTGTCCAAAATAACTCCCTAAAAGTTCTGAATGATAACAGTTTTACTATCCTTTCATTATTTTGGCAGATGAATGGTATAAATTTAAAAATAAGAACCCAAATAACTCAGGCATTAATTTGGGATTTATAACTCTTCATTTAGAACACATCCTGGCAGCTGGTTGGAAGACAGCGGTGGAGTAGGAGGACCCGAGGCTCTCCCCGTCCCACAAATACAATTCGATAACTATGAAATCATCCTAAATACCCCAGAAATGGGCCTGAAGACGGGGAAATTAACCACACAACTAAACGTAGAGAAGAGGCCACACTGAAGAAGTTAGGAAGTGTGGCGATGGGCTTAGGAGAGAAATGGGTCATGGCATTGCTGGAGGTGGGGAGCATGGTTGTAGCAAAGGGTGAAAAACAGATTAGTACACAGGGGAGCACACAGAGAAAAGGAATCCCTGAGCAAATGGCTTGGAAAACAAGAGGGGTTTGCTTGAGTTCTTGCAACCAGTGGGAGTTAAAGTTTGGAGTTTTAAAGGTCAGCATCCTTGGTTCTGGGATAGCTTCGAGGGCATGAAGGCTGCTATTGGAGAAAAGGCCAGCAAATAGCCCAGAAACATACAGTATGAAAACAGTGATGTGAAGATTACCTGGGGCACACAGTGGGAGGTTATTCACTCATCTCAGAGCACATCCCAGAGAGACAGCATTCGTGGAGAGGTTGCTGTGGGAACAAAGAAACTGGCAGTGCTGTGTCCCTCTCTCACCCCTCAGGATAAAAACAGAGCCACCTGTGGGAACCAGCGCAGCACTGACACTCACTACCTAACTTGCTTACCACCAAGCCCCACCTCCCTGCACTCTGCTGGAACTGCCCCTCCCAGTCCTGCTTGACTCAGTCCCAGCACAGCAGCAGCCCCCCTCCCAGAAGACCAGCCCAAAGCCCTATTCAAACCATCACCTGACCTGGAGTTTTGCAGAGCCTTGGTTCTGGTGGTGGTGGTGACAGGGCTCATTTCACAAACAGACCAGCACACACTTGGCTAAAACACACCACCTTCAGGCCAGGGACCAAACACTGCCCATAACAGGCAAAGAGACCCACTGCAGATGGCTGGCCTGAAGGATAAAGTGGCCAGGACAAAATAGCAGAGCACACACAGCACACATTGGAGACAATCCTGGAAGCACCAGGCCCTAGAAAGCAGGGAGCACTACATTGCAGGGCACTACAAGGTCTCTTCTTCATAAGGCCATTACCTTCAAGAACAGGAGAGGTAGCTGACTTTCCTGACTTTCCTAACACACAGCAACAGGCACAGAGACTTAGACAAAATGAGAAGACAGAGAAATCTGTCTCTAGTGAAAGAACAGGACAAGGCCATGGCCAGAGATCTAAGTAAAACAGATATAAGTAACATGCCTGATAGAGAATTTAAAGAAGTGATCGTTAGAATAGCCACTGGACTTCCAAAAAGAGTGGAAGACAGGAGTGAGACCCTTACCACAGAAATAAAGAATAACATAGCAGAGATAAAGGGCTCAAAAAGCAAAATGAGAAACACGCCTGATGGGATAAACAGCAAGCTGGAAGAGGCAGGGGAATGTAGAAACATCTAACATGCAAATGGATGTCAAAAGAAAGTGGGAGTAGCAATACTTACATCGCACGAAGTAGACTTTAAAACAAAGACTGTAACAAAAGACAAAGAAAGATACTATTAATAATAAGGGGAACAATCTAAGAAGATGTAACGATTGCAAATATTTATGTACCTAACATGTGAGCACCCAAATACACAAAACAATGAATAACAAACATAAAGGAAATAATCAGTAAGGATACAACAATACTAGGGGAACCTTAACACCCCACTCACATCAACGGACAGATCATTTAAGCAGAAAATCAACCAGGAGACAGTGGCTTTGAATGACACACTGGAACAGATGGACTTAACAGATATATTCAGAACATTCCATCCTAAAACAGCAGAATACACATTCTTTTCAAGGACACATGGAACATTCTCCAGAATAGATCACATATCATCAGCCCACAAAACAAGCCTCAACAAATTCAGAAGATGAAAGTCATTCCATGCATATTTTCTGACCACAAAGCTATGAAACTAGAAGTCAACCACAAGAAAAAAATCTGGAAAGACCACAAATACAAGGAAGTTAAATAACATGCTACTAAACAACAAATAGGTCAACCAGGAAATAAAACAAGAAAAAAAAAAAAGCACACAGAAACAAAGGAAAATGAAATCACAATGATCAAAAATCTCTGGGATGCAGAAAAAGCAGCTCTAAGAGGAAAGTTTATAGCAAGACAGGCCTACCTCAAAAAGCATGAAAAATCTCAAACAACTTCACCTTACATCTAAAGAATCTAGAAAAAGAACACAAATGAAACCTAAAACAAGCAGAGGAAGGAAATAATAACTATTAGAGCAGAAATAAATAATATAGAACTTAAAAAAACAATAAAACAAATCAATGAAACCAGGAGCTGGTTCTTTGAAAACATCAATAAGATTGATAAACCTCTAGACAGACTTATCAAGAAAAAAGAAAAAGGACTCAAATAAATAAAATCACAAATGAGAGAAGAGAAATAATAATCATCACAGAAACACAATTATAAGAGAATATTAGGAGAAACTACATACCAACAAATTGGACAAGCTAGAAGAAATGGATAAAATCCTAGAAACATATAAACTACCAAAACAGAAACAAGAAGAAAATTTGGGTAGACCAATTGCCAACAATGAAATTGAAGCAGTAATTTAAAAAAAACAAAAACAAAACAAAAAAACTCCCAACAAACAAAAGTCCAGTACAAGATGGCTTCACAGGCATACCCTACCAGACATTTAAAGAAGGGTTAATAGCTATACTTCTCAAACTTCTCCAAAAAATAGAAAAGGAAACATCCAAATTCACTCTATGAGGTCAGAATTACCCTGATACCAAAACCAAATAAAGACACCACTAAAAAAGAGAACTACAGGCCAATATCTCTGACAAATATAGATGCAAAAATTCTCAACAAAATACTAGTAAACTGAATCCAACAATACATTTTAAAAATCATTCACCACAATCATGTGGGATTTATTCCCAGGTGCAAGGGCGGTTAAACATTCACAAATCAACCAATATGACCCATCATATCAATAAGAGAAAGGATAAGAACCATATGATCATTTCAATAGATGCAAAAAAAGCATTTGACGAAGTATAACATCCATATAAAAGCCCTCAATGAGTAGGTTCAGAGAGAACATACCTCAACGTAATAAAGGCCATATATGAAAAGCTCACAAATATCATCCTTAATGGGGAAAGAACTGAGAGCCTCTCCCCTAAGGTCAGGAACAAGAGAAGGCTGTTCCCTTTCACCACTTTCATTCAACATAGTACTGGATGTCCTAGACATGGAAATAAGAAAACAAAAAGAAACAAAAGGCATCCAAATCCATAAGGAAGAAGTAAAACTTCCACTGTTTGTAGATGACATGATACTACATATAGAAAACCTGAAAGACTCCACCAAAAACCTGCTAGACCTGATAAATACAGTAAAGTTGCAGGATACAAAATCAATGTACAGGAATGTGTTGCATTTCTATACACTAATAATGAAGTAGCAGAAAGAGAAATTAAGA